TTTGTTTGTTTACTATCAATTGTAAAATTTTTATTTAAGTATGGATTTTTTATTTATTTTGTTTCTTAATTTTTTATTACTTAATTGTTCGAATTGTTTTTATTATTTAGTTCTTTTTAATTTTTGTTGTTGTTTTGTTTTCTTGTTTTTAGTTTGTTCAAATTATTTTTATTATTTAATTTATTTAGTTACCAATTAATCGGTGATGCTCAAATGACATAAACTGAAAGTAAATGAAAATTAAATAACAGAAACTTAGATTTCATAAACAACAAGTACATCGAGCACAAAATCAACGGTTACTTGATGACAAAAGAGATATACATTTTTTCTATTGTGTCCTAGGTTTCTACAATGCCCATATCTTTTGTTTTCTCTTGACGTCTCCTGAATATCCATATCACAATGAATTCATTGTGTCCTAGGTTTCTACAATGCCCATATCTTTTGTTTTCTCTTGACGTCTCTTGAATATCCATATCACAATGAATTCTAGTGGATTTTGGGCGACCGGACTCCCTTAATAAGGTCGAAGCTGGTACAATCGGAAGCCAAGTCTAAAGCTCATCAGGGTGTTTCTCATTACCTATGGGGGAACTCAAATTCATATACCTTAAACATTTCTGAAAGTCGGTATATGGGATCCACAAAACGATTATAGTCTTGATGGGTATGCGAAAAAGTTGTTATGACATGAGAGAATGGATAGTTCAGATCTTGAAAATACCCACATTCGCACCATCTGTCTCATAGATTAACTCTGAACAAGTTAGATTGAATCATTTGAAGAGGTCACGACATCTCTGTGACATGAAATAATTCATAGGTTCTAGAGAATCTTGTTACAGACATTTCATTTGATGCATAAATTCTTTTTTGTAGATCTGTAACTAATATTAGGTGATAAATATGATCGTTTTGCATCCAATTTTGAGCTTGTCCCCCGATCTTGGCAAAAAAGTTCCCTAACGAAAATATGTTGTTTTAACAAAAGCCGTTACTAGTAAATGGCGTGCCCCCTTTAAGGTTGAATTGATAGCCTTAGCCAAGTTGGTCTTCATGTGTCCATATCAATATCCACCATCATATGCATTTGTCCACATTTATTTGTTGATGAGATTGATGTAATCGTATCATTCCTTATTTTTTCCTCGCAACTCTTGAAGCATGGACTCAAATGTTTCAGGTAGTAGTTGTAACCTGAGCATCAAATGTAGAACTTACTAACTTTGTTTCCATAAAAAATGAAAATGATTGAGAAATAAAAATAACATTTTGACATGCCCATGCGCACAAGTAATTGGCGCTCATCATTCTTCTTGAACTTTCCATGATAGTTAGCAGCAATGTGTCGGATACAGTATCGATGTTGGACATAGGATGGTTTTCACATTGGACCCAAAGAATCCATTGTTGCTTTGATCCTAGCTCTGCGATCTGAAATGACACAGATTGAATGTAAACGTAAGTTCTGAGGAAAAAAGCCCAAGAATTTGTATCTTCTGCTTCAACAAGGGTAAAAGCAATTGGAAGAATATTGTGATTACCATCTTGGACAACTGCCAATAGTAAAACTTGCTTGTATTTTCCATACAAGAATATCTTGTCGATTTGAGCCACGGGCTTGCAGTATTTCACAACATTAATGCACTGTGGGTAAGTCAAAAAAAACAGGTAGAATTTGTATTTATCACGGAGCACTCGATCATTGTGCTATGCATGACAAGTTTCGAAGTCGAGAATTGTCCCATGATTCAATCTGCGCACTACCCTAAACCAACTCGGTAGTTCGTTATAAGATGCATCTCATTTTCCGTAAAGTTTTTTAATGGCATTCTATTTTGCCTTCTTTTCTTTCCTGTATGAGATGGTATACCCATACTGCGATTGTATAGTTGAAATTAGCACCGCAATAGCTATATGGGAGCTTGCTTTTACCATGGGCATGATGGTTTGGCAGATAATGTCGGAGTCCAAGTTGGGATGATCCTGGTTGATCCCTCCAATACAACAGGTATGAGGACTGTTGTATATCGTTACTTCTCATATATTGTTTTTCCTCTTCCTCTTCGATACATGAACCATCCAATTGCATCCGTTATCATGTTGGACACAGTAATAAACATACTTTTTGGTGGTGGAACGGTTGACTCTGGACTGAACAGTATTACGAATATTGTAATTCTTAATTGCCATCATCACTTCTTCTTTGCATGGAAACTTTATTCCTTTATATAACTCGCCATCATTGGTTGATGAGTTAAATCTGTAGTCACCGACATTAGGCATATCCGCAAATTATAGTCCGTACATTGCACTATAGTGAGCTTCATATATGTGTGTTGGAGGTTCGGTGAGTACCATATTTCTGGGAACTTCATCTACATCAACATCATCGGAGTCCATGCTGAACTGCGATGATTATGGCTGAACGAATAGTCCAGTCTCAGCATCATCCGCACCTGGCTCACGAAGAGGTTCTTCTGGTAGAGATGAGAGTTCCTCCATGATGTTGACATTTAGGTCGGACAGGCTGGTGGTTGCTTGCATTTCCCTTGAACTTGAAAGCATCTCGACATTAAGGTTGAATAAGCTTGCAGTTGAATGCCTCCCCTTGGAACTTGAAGGCATCGTGTCAAATGGGTATTGCACATTTTGTTGCGTCGAGGGCATATCCATATTCAGGTCAAAGAAATTGGAAGATTAATGCATTCCCCTTGAACTGGACGCTGCCATACAAATTGTTTGTGGAGCCACCTCGGTACATATCGTAAGAAGTTGTTGATGAATGTCTCCCCATTGAACTTGATGGGATGACACAATGATGTGGATTTCCCATTAACGATTTAAAATCATTGCATATTACTTGAGTTGTACTGTCAACTTGATCAGCTTGTTGAGTCAGTCCATAGTGGGAACATAATGACATACCACGAACAACACACACTTCAACAAATTTCACATACATCTGTGTATCGGCTTTTGAATAATGATTTTGAGAATCAACCATCATAGCATTATCGTCATCGTTGGATAATTTGAACGTTGTATAAGTTAACAGAAATACTGCGGTTGGAAATCTGTAATGAAGTGAGGACAGTCTTCTAGTACTTCCAACATGACCTTTCCTTGAAATATTCGTTATCAGCTTCTCAAGAGTTATGTTTATCTTGAAGGATATTCTGACAGAATGATTTGATGCAAAGACGACGTTGGTTTCATCTTCCCGAATTTCTCCATAATAGTAAACAATAGCTTAAATACGCATCATTCTGAGAGTTTGAAAGATTGAGAGTCTTATATCTGCAAAAATAATATGCTTAAGTACATAAATAGTATATGAATTAAAATATAAACTAATCAAAAAAATTAAAAATTTTCACAATAATTTGAATAATATAATTTTATATTGTTACCGTATCGGCAAAAATGTCTCGAGTTATGATCACACTTTCTAATTTTACAACTGCAAAAAATAATACAAAATAATTAGTACAATAAATTTTTTTCAAATAATCATATATAAAATAAATATAATATAATAAAAAATAATTTTACCTTACAACAATAATAGAAGGAATTGATGTTGTGATGTTTGCATAGAGGGAGTGTTATTTATAGGAGAGGGAAGGGTTTAAAGGCCGAGCTGCTCGAGTGGTACTAATAATGGAAGGCGCATATCGTCATTCGTGCCTTACGTATATGTGTCAGAATCCCCAGGCCTGTCTTGACGTTGCGTAAGCTCGAATAAGATCGCCATCCGCGCCTTTCATGATGTGGCTTGTCAGAAAGGGTGCTAGATCAGTAAAATTAGGAGAAAGGGTGCCTGACAGGTAATTATTACATGTACGGGTGATATTTCGGTAAAATCGCCTTAATATATTTTATTTTTGTTTAAAAAATCGATTTAATGTAATTAAAAACTTATTTTTAAATAAAAATGTTTATCAAAATGAGGTATTGTTGACATATCAATTCTCCCACCCTTCTTCCAACTCCAACCACAATCATTTTTGGTTTAAATTAACTATTAAGATTTTGGTTGGTAGAGTAAAAAAAATTATAAAGAAAAAGGGTAAAAAATGAAAAAAAAAATTTATATCGGTATGCTTGATAAAAATAATGAAAAATACAAAAATATAATTTTATTTTAATTCATTACTCAATAGAATTAAAAAGTAATATGAGATGAAAACTTAAAAAAGTACATATCCTTCTCAGTTTTTTTCCTCTCATTTTTCTTCAATAATAAGCGCACTTCAAATTCATTTTATTTATGGATTTTCATTCTCTAAGCTTTATTTGATCGGGTGTAAAACAAAATGACGAAAAATTAAGGTCAAAAAAATAGAATGATGAAAAATAATTTTCTTTTCAATTAGTGACCTTGTTAGTAATGATGAACAAATTAAAAGAAAACCTATTTTTTCATTCATCAGGTTGTAAAACGTAATGAAAGAAAAATTCAGTACAAAAAATAAATATTTTAAAATAATTATGTTGACCCAACATTCTGATTGGATAAGAATATTAGTTGACTAACGATCAACACTCATTATTGACATTGTAAATTCTAATGTCCAAAATAATGACATGTCATTACCATATTTCTATATTAATGACATGATAAAATGATGATATTATATCTTGTGTCCATGGCACCAAGAAGGTTACCATGCCACCTTAAACATTTCTTCTCGAAAACACCATTTTTTTGCAAGTGAATGAACATTTTCATTAGCTTCCTGAAAATTCTTGCAAAACGCAACGGAGCTTTCCAGGTGAAAAATAGCGAATGACACCGATATCCCTGTTGATATTCCGAGACACAAATTCTTGTCGGGGGTGGTTATACAAGTAAACATGGGCACAACATTGATACGTATCAAAATTTCTTGTTTATATTTTAAACTAAGACAAAATACATATTGGAATTCTGGTTTGATTACAATAGCTTCCCGAATGAACACATCACCATCAGCTAAAGGAAGACCCAATAAATTCATAAGCCGACTATGATCCAACATTTTCATTTCATGCATCAACAATACAGAGTTAAAGAATAAAGATAGTACGGAGAACAACCATTACTCTTGGTTGAACTATTAATAACGCTAAAAGGACCACTGTGCTAAATTGGAAGGATGTAAAAAGAAGTAAAATCAGGTTTGGCAGTTATACCATGCCCAAGAAGAACAAAGGACTTCAACCATCGTCTGAACCACTATCTTCAGACATCCTTCCAACATCCTCAACTATTGTCGAGTCCTGTAAACAAATAGCAGAAGAAACTTGTTACCTAAAACAAAGAGGTAAATGCATTCATTCTCTGCCTCCAGTTAAAATGCAAGAGTGAATTGAATGGTGGTGTCTGCTAGAGAAAGTGAGAGACGTGACTTTTGTAAAATCAAAAGCATTAACATTCTTACCGCCATTTTATCCCAGTCCTTCAACTTAGGATTTGTTAGCATGTAATTATCACGCAATGGGGCCCAAGCAGGTCCTTCATCATTCATAGGATCAGATGATGTATTACTCTGCATATCATAAAATTTCATAAGCAATTACAGTAAAAATTACAAAGAATCCAAATAAAAACTAAAATGGTATTGTGAATGAATTAGAAAAGAATGAAGAAATAATATGTGTCATTTCTTGAATGAGTACAAGGCTCCTTTTATACAGAGGGAAATTACAACAAAAAAAGAAACTAATTAGAGCCAATATTTGACACTTCTACTTTCCTACTTTTTCTTGATTTACATCTTTTACTTTCTATATTTACATAGAAAACAAATCCTAGAATATCTCACAGATTATGACTAAATCAAGGCTTTCAATGACCAAATTTCAAACACTCCCCCTCAAGCTAGTTTAAAGATATCTTCCATAGCCAGCTTGCTAGTCAGATTACCAAATTGCTTCTTGTGTAGTCCCTTCGTTAGTAAATCAGCTAATTCTTCATCAGTTGGAAGATATGTCATGCATATTATTCCCGCATTGACTTTCTCCTTGATGAAATGTTTATCCACTTCTATATGTTTCGTGCGATCATGAAGAATTGGATTATGAGCAATAGCAATAGCAGCTTTGTTGTCACAATAGACCTTCATTGGAGTCGAGTAAGAAAACTTCAATTCTTCAAGAATCCTTTTTATCCACATCGCCTCGCAGATTCCATGGGCAACGGCTCTGAATTCTACTTCAGCACTACTTCTAACTACCACATTTTGTTTTTTACTCCGCCATGTAACTAGGTTTCCTCCAACAAAGGAACAATATCCAGACGTTGATCTTCTGTCTGTAACACTTCCGGCCCAATCTGCGTCTGTGTAGACTTCAACTTGAAGATGTCCATGTTTCTTGAACAATAAGCCTCTTCCTAGAGTTCCTTTCAAATATCTTAAGATCCTATAGACGGCCTCGAAATGCTCCGCCCCTGGTGAGTGCATGAATTGACTTACCATGCTAACTGCAAAAGCAATATCAGGCCGTGTATGAGACAAGTAAATCAACTTTCCTACAAGTCTCTGATATTGTTCCCTGTCCTTTACTTCTTCAACCTTAGCAGCTTGTAACTTCAAGTTTGGCTCAACCGGAGTTTCAACCATCTTACAACCAAGTAGACTTGTTTCTCCAAGGAGATCAAGAACATATTTTCTCTGATTGACAAATATGTCTTCCTTAGATCTTGCAAATTCCATTCCAAGGAAATACTTAAGAGCTCCCAGGTCCTTAATTTGGAACTCCTTTGCTAGTCTTTTCTTCAGAATAGTTAATTATGTTTCATCATCACCAGTGAGAATAATATCATCAACATAAACAATCAAAATTGCAACTTTACCATCTTTTGAATGTTTAAAAAATAATGTGTGATCAGCTTGACTCTGCAAGAAGCCATAACTGATAACTGTCTTTCCAAAGCGGTCAAACCAAGCTCTTGGTGACTGTTTGAGTCCATATAGTGACTTATGTAATCTGCATACTTTGTTACTGCCAAGTTTCTTCTCAAATCTTGGCGGTAGGCTCATATACACCTCTTCCAGATCACCATTGAGAAATGCATTTTTAACGTCAAGTTGATGTAGAGGCCAATCGGAGTTCACTGCAAGAGATAACAACACTCTAATAGAATTTATTTTAGCAACAGGAGCAAAAGTCTCTTGGTAGTCAATCCCATATGTCTGATTAAAGCCTTTAGCCACCAATCTCGCCTTGTATCTCTCAACATTTCCATCAGCTTTACTTTTTATTGTAAACACCCATTTACACCAGACTATTTTCTTTCCTTTGGGTAGATCGACAATCTCCCATGTACCACTTCTCCTTAGAGCATTCATCTCCTCCACGACTGCTAATTTCCAATTTGGATCATCCAATGCTTCCTGTATATTCCTTGGAACAAACAAATGTGAAATCCTAGATGTGAAAGCTTTATGGTTTTTTTATAGTCTGTGATAGGAAAGATATTTTGCAATGGAATGTTGAGTGCAATTTCAGACACCTTTCCTAAGTGCTATAGGGACATCAGGATCAGGAATACTAGGTGAATTGTTGGACAAAGTGGAGGAAATCAAAGGTGTAGTAGGGATAGGATTACCTGAAGTTTCGACACCAGAACTTAGATCTTCGGATTGGTTTCGTGCATGGTTGATATTTGAGTCTTTATTTCTCAAATGAAATCTCTTCCTAGTATAAAACTGAAGCTCAAAATTCAAATCACGTTGATTAGTTTGTAGTATTTCTCCCCCTGAACGAGAATCTCCTTCATTAGGCACCAACAAACCTAGTTCTCCTAGGCAATCGTTATTAGAAACACTTTAATTTGGATTTTCAAAGCGACCACTCTTAGAAATGCGTGGTTTTTGTGTAAGATAAATTACATTGGGCAGTGGGATAGAAATGTCCCAAAAATTATCTTCTACATCACTTGTCTCCCCCTGAAGAGAATTTTTTGTGAAATAAGGTTTTGTTTCCAAAAACGACACATCCATACTCACATGAATTTTTTTTGTTTGAGGATCAAAACACTTATACCCCTTTTATTTGAAGAGTACCCCAAAAAAATGCATTTAATAGCACGTGGGTCAAGTTTTGAACGAAATTGGCATGGAACATGAACATAGACAGTATATCCAAAAACTTTGACAGGTAACTCAGAAAACAACCTTGTTCCAGGAAAAGATGATTTTAGGCAATCGAGTGGTGTTTTGTATGTTAACACCTTAGTAGGCATCTTATTTATCAAGTAAGCGGCTGTTAAAACTGCTTCACCCCATAAGTATTTGGGAACATGCATGTAAAACATTATGGCACGTGCTACTTCAAGTAAATGTTTATTTTTTCGTTCTGCAATGCCATTTTGTTGAGGGGTATCCCGACATGTAGAGTGATGAAAAATCCCTTTCTCTTTCAAAAAATCACCTAAGTGCTCATTAAAATATTCTGTTCCATTGTTAGAATGTAAAATACTAATCTTGGTTTGAAATTGGTTTTCAATCAGAGTGTAAAATTTTTTGAATAAATCTTTCACGTCAGACTTTTTATTCATTAGATAAATCCAACATAACCGTGTGTGATCATCAATAAAAGTAACAAACCACCTTTTACCAGAAATAGTAGTAACTTTAGAAGGGCCCCAAACATCACTATGAATCAGATAAAAAGGTTTGGAGGACTGATAATCGTTTGGTAAATAAGAGGAATGACGGTTTTTTGAAAAAAATGCAATTTTCACAATGAAAAGAAGAACAATCAATCCCTTTAAATAATTCTGGAAATAAGTGTTTCAAATAAAGAAAACTAGGATGTCCTAGTCTCTAGTGCCACAACATTATTTTTTCTCGAACAGAAATTGAACTAGTACCACTAAAGCTCTGAACTTTTTTATTACAGATAGATACTTCATCAAAGTAATAAAGACCTTCAATCATCCTAGCACGTCCAATCATCATCCCCGAGTTTCGATCTTGAAATTCACAATGTGATTCAAAGAAGGTAATGCAACAATTAGAATCTCTAGATAGTTTACTGACAGACAAAAGATTGTAGGCTAATTTAGGGACATGAAGAACATTATTGAGATTAATTTTCTCTGTCAGCTTAATGAGTCCTTTCCTGCAATAGGTGAAAAACTACCATAGGCAATTATAATTTTTTCATTTCCAGGGCAAGGTGAATAGGTATTAAATAAATGAGAAAAACTAGTCATGTGATCTGAGGCTCCGGAATCTATTATCCACAGAGAGGAATTTGGACAAGAAAGGGCTTTAGGATTACTACATGTTTGTGCCAAAGAAACACTAGGAATACCATATGAGAAATTGGATTTTATCAATTTCAAGAGTTGATCAATCTGCTCTTTGTTGAAGGGACCTGAGTTAGCTTCACTTGCAGTAGGAATTCCACGATTCTTCTCTCCTTGCTTGTTGCTTTTCCAGTTAGCATGTTTGCCATGAATTTTCCAACATGTCTCACATGTATGGCGGGGTTTGTTGCAAAAATCGCACCAGACCCATGGTTTATAATCAGACCTGCGCTGGTAGTTTGCTGCCTTGTAGGCTGCAACATCACTCAAGAAGGCAAAATTTTCAATTAACTCACCAGTACTCTTCTTTTTAAGGATGACATTCCTTCAGCTTTCTTCTCTTTTAACTTCGGCAAATACTTCGCCAATGGATGGAAGAGGAGGTCTGCCAATAATCCTTCCTCGTATTTCATCAAACTCAACATTGAGGCCGGCAAGAAACTTGTAAATACGACTATCTTCTACAGTTTTCTTATGGTGATTACAGTCGTCAATACTTTTCCATTCGTATGTGTTGAAGAGATCAAGATCCTGCCACAGCCTTTTCAACGAATGGAAATATGTGGTGACAGAATTATCTCCTTGACGAATCTCGTCCAATTTTAAAGTCAACTTAAAAACCTGAGATTGGTTGCCTAGGTCAGAATACATCTAACATTATCCCACAATTCTTTTGCAGTAGGAAAACACATGTAATTGGAGCTTATGTCCTCCTCCATGGAATTGACCAGCCATGTCATAACCATGGGGTTTTCAGCATCCCAAGAGCGTACATCGGATCATCAACAACAGGAGCCTTCTTGTCACCAGTGATGTAACCGATTTTCCCTTGCCCACGAATATACATCCGGACTGATTGTGACCATCGGAGGAAGTTGTCACTATTTAAGCGGATGGTGGTGATTTGGACAGAATGAGAATTGGAGTGGTGCTGCGGAATGGCCGCAGCAGGGGTTGAGGTGATTTCCGACGCGACTTCGGACATGGCTACAGTGATTTTGGAACTGTTGTGTTTTAGGGTTAAGACACAATTATGGCTCTGACACCAAATTAGAAAAGAATAAAGAAATAATGTGTCATATTTCTTGAATGAGCACAAGGCTCCTTTTATACAGAGGGAAATTACAACAAAAAAAAGAAACTAATTAGAGCCAATATTTGACAGCTTCTACTTTCCTACTTTTTCTTGATTTACATCTTTTACTTTCTATATGTACATAGAAAACAAAT